GGAGTCTCTGGCCCCTTAGAAGGAGCATGCTGAACTAGCTCTCCAGGAAGAGATGAAGGATAACTTGCTTCTTTCTCTTCTTCTTCTTCTAGGGCAGCGCTTTCCGCAGTCCACATTGGCTCTGCATTTGGCCGTTCACTGGTATCCTGTCAGATGATGAGGCCAGAGAGGTAAGGAGGGATTGTGAATTACCCCAGGCTCAATATTTGGAGCACAGGAGAGTACCCAGTTCTGCTCTTTAAAGGACAAGTATTTGGAGGACTCCTTTCAGAGCATCTGTAGGAGTCTTTTGCTTTCCAGTACCAGAGCCTCAGGGCTTTATCTATTTCTGGTAAAGGGGTGAGGCTTGTGCCAGCTCTCCAAAACTCCTTGGGACAGGTGTAAGTTCCTGGTGTTGCAGCAGAAGTTATGGAGGGCAATGAGTTATGACCACACATTGGTGAGCATCTGCATGTGCTTGGTGGACCAAGCAGCTGTTCTCAGAGCATGTTGAATGTTCATGTATACTGTTGCAAAGGGAGCAGTGAACAACTGTAGTTAAATGGGCTGCCCAGCTTACCACTACCAGTGAGAATTGTAAAATGGAGGATTTGGGTAAGAGTCAGGCAGGAAAGACTCAGCACATTGTGACAATGGGGTTGGAGGAATAATAAATTCAGGTATCAGAGGGGTAGCCATGTTAGTCTGAATCTGCAAAAGCAATGAGGAGTCCCGTGGCACCTTATAGACTAAGGCTGTGTCTACACTGGCATCCTTTTCCGGAAAAGGGATGCTAATGAGACCAGTCGGAATTGCAAATGCCACGGGGGATTTACATATCCCCCGCGGCATTTGCATGTACATGGCTGCCGCTTTTTTACGGCTCGGGGTTTTGCCGGAGAAAAGCACCAATCTAGACGGGATCTTGCGGAAAATAAAGCCCTTTCCTACTTTCAAGTAGGAATAAGGGATCTTCCGGAAAAGGCTTTATTTTCCGTTAGATCCCGTCTAGACTGGCGCTTTTCTCCAGCAAAACCCCGAGCCAGAAAAAAGCGTCAGCCATGTTCATGCAAATGCAGCGGGGGATATTTAAATCCCCCACAGCATTTGCAATTCCGACTGGTATAATTAGCATACCTTTTCCGGAAAAGGGTGCCAATGTAGACACAGCATAACAGTTTTATTGGAGCAGAAGCTTTTGTGGGCAAAGACCCGCTTTGTTAATGAACCCAGGACATGGCATATGGCACTTGTCTTCATCTACACTACAAACTGGCACAGACATCGGGCCATGACATAGTCCAAGGCATGTCCATACCCACCATCTTTATGTTAGCTACCATTCTTGACCCATGTATGCCTTGAAACCTGTGTTACTGGAGTTTAGAAGTGAACAGTAAAGGGCTCAGGCACACCAGATACCTGGATCCATGTCCAGTTGCTAGTGCAGATGTAACCCTTCCATAATTTCGGGTCACTTCATTTTATCGAATAACTTGTTTTTAATTTTTGTTGTTTTTTTTTAATTGAGGGGGGTGTTTTGTTTTGAAGAAGAGCTTGCTCCTTTCAAGGTTCATTGCTGCTTCCAACACTGAAGTCATAAAGCTGAATTTGTGTGTGTGTCTACATTAATTTCCATAGCGAGGGATTATGTTGTTATAGGCATGGGATTAGGACTTCACTAAAGGATCAAAGCAAAAAAGGAGGGAGAGGGAGGGAGACTGGGATTTGAAGAGTAACCTGCTTTCTCCAAGCAAATAAATATCTAAAATAATAGCCAAAGGAAAATAGAAAGTGATTGGCCAAGTGAGTGCTTATGACTTAACCTAGACTCATGATCCTTGGGGATATTGGATGTTACTTGCTACATTTCTTGCCAGCAGACAAGTTTTGGTTTTTTTTTTTTTTTTTTTTTTTTTTTTTTTTGCTTTCTACTACAGCAGTGCTAATCATTCAGACTGCAATACAGTACAAAATCTGAAACAATATCCTAGGGCTAGTGTCATACAATTTTGCATCTTGTATTCATCTGCACTAGACAGAAGCTATGATTCCCATTCACATTGCTAAATTATTGCACTACATTTTCTAGTTGATTTTCCATTGATATTAGAGGAATGTGAATAATTAGCAGTGAATAATTTATTCCATGAACTCAGCCTCATTTTCTGTTTGTAGAATATCCGCAAATAGCAAATTTTAAGATTTTATTTTTCATTCACATTTTCTAAAAAAGATGTATCTAATTTTTTTTTTTAAGTATGTGGTACTTGTAGGTAGTTTGGTTCAAGGATCTAGATACTGATTTTGGAAACTGAAGGTATGTTTAACAGCTATGAGTCTTCACAAAATTACACCTGCTTTTATGTCCTTAAATTACATGAGCATTACTGTTTTAAGGCTCAAGGCCATGCACATGAGTAGAATCCTACCAAATGCATGGTCCATTTTGTTCAGTTTCACAGGATTTTAAAAATAATAATTTTCATAATTTCAGCTATTTAAATATTAAATTTCACTGAGCTGTAATTGTAAGGATCCTGACCCAAAAAGGAGTTGGGTGGGTCACAAAAGTTATTGTAGGGTGGTTGCAGTACTGCTACTCTTACTTCTCTTACTGCTGACTGGGATCTCAGCTCTGAAGGTGAAGCCATCACCAGCAGCAGTGCAGAAATAAGTACAGCATGACATGGTATTGCCATACTTACTTCTGCATTGATGTTAGCAGGGTGCTGCCTTCAGAGTTAGGTGCCTGGACAATTGCTGCTGCTCTCTAGCCACCCAGCTCTGAAGGCAGAGTAGAATCAATGGTGGAAATACCTTGGCCTCACAAAAATAACCTTATGACTCCCTTGGGGTATGTCTACACTCCCCCCCTAGTTCAAACTAGGGGGGTAGTGTAGACATACCGAACTTGCTAATGAAGCCCGGGAAATTCCAATCCCGGGCTTCATTAGCAAGTTCGGTATGCATACATTACCCCCCTAGTACGAACTAGGGGGGTAGTGTAGACATACCGAACTTGCTAATGAAGCCCGGGAAATTCCAATCCCGGGCTTCATTAGCAAGTTCGGTATGCATACATTACCCCCCTAGTACGAACTAGGGGGGTAGTGTAGACATACCGAACTTGCTAATGAAGCCCGGGAAATTCCAATCCCGGGCTTCATTAGCAAGTTCGGTATGCATACATTACCCCCCTAGTACGAACTAGGGGGGTAGTGTAGACATACCCTCAGAAGCCATTTTTGGGTTGGGACACATTGATCTCGCCTGTGAAATCTGTATAGTATAGGATAAAAGCATACAACAGATCAGATTTAATGAGGGGAGACCAGATTTCTTTTTCAATAGTATGTTTTTGTGGTTATGATTTGGGTAGGGCCTTACATATAAGCAATTAATCTGCGTAACTATGGAAAGAAAATTGCATCCAGATTATTAATTTTAGAGGAGTCACAGACAAAGCCTTGTATGAACCAGCAAGGGGAAGGTTAAAAATTTGCCAAAATTCCCTAATTCTGTTTATCTATCTTCTTAATGAAGTTACTCTAGTTTCCCCCCAAAAAAATCTGGCCCATAAATCAGGATGGCAAATGCTTTTGGGAATCCATTCTTTAAGAGACATAACACATAAAAAGGGGTAGAGAACTCTAGGCATTTTTACCAGATTTTCCCTTGCTGGGCCACACAAAGTCTTGTCTGATTTATTGGTCAATTTTTGTCTCTTATTGCCTTTTCACAAAATAATCACTTGTTTTCATATGGGTATGTGGGGATGGCGATGAGGGTAGAGGCATGCACACACATGCGCGTGCACACACACACATACATCTTTTTCTCATTCATGAGATTCCCTCATGTCACCACTGAGGCAACAGCTGTGAAAGTTAGTCCTTTTCCTGTACTAAGCAGCGTCCCACTTCACAGAAAATATATCACATCCAATCTGAATGCACAGATGTTTACATTTAAAATGTCATTTCCATGAGTACTTGCATAGGTAAAATTCAGTCTCTCATATGTTCACAGAAAACATAATTAGAAATTAATTCATTTCAGTTTGCTTTCCCTTCGTAATACTTATGGAAACATTTTTGCACTATATCCCTGGGTTGTTGTTACTCTGAACAGTCATCCCTCCTCCCCCAAGCACTAAGAAGGCACTCAGATATTACTTTAATGGCAGCCATAGGTTAAATTCCCAGAGCTGGGTAGATTTAGGGCCTGACCAAATCATAGAAGTCTTTCTTGACCTAAATAGGTTTGGATTGAAGCCCTTAAAGTTTCCATGGTATGAGAAATATCTTTCAATATCTTTCAAAGCTTTGCATTTTAAGCATTTCAAATGCCACTGTTTGGTACATATTAGGTAGCACACTAGATAAAGACAAATAGGATTAGCTAGAGTCCGCATTTGCCAAGATTAAGCTGTGGCAAAGAAAACCCTTTAAAAAATCCCCTCCCCCTGCAAAACCTCAGATTGAAGTTTGCCAATCAGACTCATAAATAAAGCCCTGCAAATCAGCGGATATGAGTGCATATATCCGCAATTCATTTTTGTAGATATGGATGCAGATGGAAATACAAATTTTGTATCTAGAACCCTGAAAATTTGTTCTAAGAATGGTCATACTGGGTCAGACCAAAGGTCCATCTAGTCTAGTATGCTGTCTGCCAACAGTGGCCAATATCCACAGGAACCCGCAGGATGTCAGTGCTGATATCCATGGCCTACTTTTGCTGATACAGATGCAGATGCTGATATCCACACAGGGCTCTACTCATAAACGATGAATAAAAGTAAATAGGTTATGTCAGTATATAAATCACAGCACTACCAGGATATATATTTTTGGATATGAAGCTTGAATATTCTGCTAGGGAACAGGGAAATAGAGATTTTACATTGAAATTAATTAAACTCACTTTAGGCTCTAGAGCTTGGAGAATTAAAAAGTTAAAAAAGAAAGGCAGTTTGCTTGCCAGGCATATTTATCCAAGATCATAGCTCTAAAATTAATCCACAAGGACAGGGAGCCAGCAGATTAAGGACCTAAACACAATTTTCATTCCTTACTGTATTTCGTTTTTATATTGTAAAGTTGTTTGAAAGAACATGTTGAAACAATACATCCTGTTAAGCAAAAGCATTGTTCACAAAATAAATGTCTCCTACAGTTGGATCAGC